GGTTTTTTTTTTTTTTTTTTTTTTTTTGCTGGGTCCTTCGCTGGTTCGCTGGTCCTCGCACGGCCTGGTCGCCCGGGAAAACAAGGGTGACCCAGGCGGCCAAGGGTGACCCAGGCGGCCCGGCTGGTAGCCTAGATTTCGAGTGATTAAACGCTTACATGTGGCATCAGTCTAATTATGAAAAGGAAGAAGGGGTATGGAATCCCCGACCATGAGAGCGTTGGTTTGCCTTCTTGCCAGTAACAGCAGAGTGGAACTCAAAAAGTTTCGTTTTTTTTTTTTTTGTGGAAAAAAGACACCGTTGTGGGAGTCGTGAATTCCTAGGACCTCCTTGTTGGGGACAGCCCAATGATAGATATATATATCTGTTTGTGACGATATATATATATATTTTTTCTTTGTTTTTGGAAAAAAACATCTTTGTGGAAGTTCCCAAATATACCCTTCTTGCCCTTTTGGGTAAGATAAAGTGCAGTATCTGTTCCCTGATCAGCTTACTAAAAAAGGACAAAAGAAGTCACTGGGACGATTGATAAGAGACAGCCAAATGGAGAAATAACTAAGTTTGCAGGCAGATACTAACACCACCAATCTTCAAAAAAAAAAAAAAAGAAGGATAATAATTAATTAAATCAAATTCAAAATACCCCCATGAGTTGAGACGTGTGCCAAAATGCCTTTAAAAGATTTGAATAGAGCGGAATGCCCCTCTGATGAAAAATAACTTTTGTGGAAAAAAAAGAACGTTGCGCCGGTTGGACCCCCTATCTTTGCAACATACCCCTGCCAGGTACCGTCCAACTTTGCAAAATGCCCCTGTACTTGCCAATTTCTCCAAGGCCCGATTGCAGAAGCCCAAGGCCCAAACAAACAGCGAGGGCCAGATTCCGAATTTGCACACGGGCCTGACAGGGGCATAACAGAAAGATTTCGGCCCAAAAGGGCAGTCTGCTCTACCCACTTCTTTTAGGGACTTTCCGGCATATATCCCAACTTATGGGGGTAGTTTGCAAATAGATTTCGGTCCAAAAGGGCAGTCCGCTCTACCCACGTCTTTCAGGGGCATTTTGGCTTATATCTCCATTTATGGGGGGGTATTTTCCAAACTATCCCCCCAAAAAAGCCCTACCAGAACCAATCTTGTAAACCACAGGAGGTCAGGGCGTACTCAGACCAGGAATTTTTCCACTTCTCTCTGGACGTAACTGGGGCCAGTTGCATTCAGGCGGGGCCGGAAAAGCGGTCTCATACGTCCATGAAAGTAGTGTGAGTAAGCCCTCAGGGTCTCTCACCTCAACCTTTCTTTTCCTTTTCTTCTCTCTCTGACCTTTACTTGGAAAGGTGCAATTTCAAAATAGCCCTCCAAAGCAATGTTGATCAGACACAATGAATATCCACACGGGAACCGTACTACCGACCTTCAGTAGCGAAGCGCTCTCTCTCTCCACGTATAGGAATACCAACAGGTAAATCCAGGTAAGCCTCTCTCTCTCTCTCTCTCTCTCTCTCTCTCTCTCTCTCTCTCTCTCTCTCTCTCTCTTTCCCTCCCCCCCACCCCTCTCAGGATATTGTAGTTCCCTGAGACCTACGCTAACCTATAGTGGGTGTGCACCTTCTATCCTAGTTAGGGCTACTCTCATGCACTCTCACTCTCACTCTCTGTGTCACCTTGTTCAGGTGCTTCCGTCTTCACCTGAATAGAACGCCCCGTCATTATAGTTGTATCTGGACTGAAAATTGCACCAAATACGGCTGTAATGACCATGCATTCTATTTGGGTGAAGAGGGTAGCCCTGGGGCAGCAACACTCCAGCTACAAAGCCCCGCAAGTACACGGCCCCAGCCTCGCAGAAAGTCTTTGTCGCCACAAGCAAAACTCGGATGGGCCGTGCGGCTTGGGGCGCCGTTGAAAAAAACAAGTTGGCGGCCTCCGAAGTGGTACGGGTTTCATGCTGACACCCGGGGGCCGATGTGTGGTGTACTGGTGTGCTTTAAGGCAGGATGAATGTGTGCCCCCAGATCTGGGCCAGGTTCACAGTATGTGAAGTGTTGACTTGGTCTGGGGTCTGCCTCCAGTCGCCTCCTCGTGTGACTCAGATGTCCCGATCTGTGTGGCCAAGATTTCTTCTGGCCACTGTGTGCCTGGACCTGGTGAGACCTGGAAGCTGTACTGAGCTATGTTGCCAGAGTAGGCGGGCACGGGCGACCCGGGCAAACTTGCATGCGGGGTGACCCGCCCGGGGTACCCGGGGGACACTGAAACGGTTTTCACCTTTTTGCAGTTCGATCCCAGACCTCACCTTACCCATGTACAGTATCGAGTTGACCCCCGAGTGTTTGAACCCGTGACCTGTGTTTCGGTAGTTGGTTGTTTGTGTGTCGTAGGTCTGCGTAGATGTAGGGGTTCGATCTGTAGGTCTGTCAAGTAGGGGTCATAGCTGTGTAGAGGTCGAAACTGCTAGGCTAGAGGTCTGTAGGTGAGTCGCAGGTCCAACCTCATGCAGTCAGGGTTACCAGTCCCGGTCCTCCCGAGTCCGGTCAAGCAAGTACCGTGTGGGACTGTGCACACCCAGGGCCTGGTGGAAAGGGGCAGACCAGCGGCAAACAGAAGTATAAATCAAGAGCAGCGCCCGACAATTCATTCATTCGCTGCGTAAGCCATGCGGAAGCGCTGCTGCTACGGCGTCTTGTGCGAAGGTGGTCTGCAGGTTGGCCGAAGACAAAGTGGGCTGACGAGAGAGATCGTAGTCATAGTCAGTAGTAATAGAGTGGCCATAGCCGCTGTAGAAGGAAGATAGGATTAGCGTGTGTGTGTGTGGTGGTATTCAGGGTGATCCAGAGTTGAGTATGTGCGAACGGTGGTATCGGACACAGTGGTGAAAGTGGGTGTGCAGGCGCCGATGCGCCATAGTTGTTGAAGCGATTCTGCATCTTAACTGTGTTCTCGTTTTCCATATCTCTGAGCTTTGAGTGGGTGCGAAGCGCCAGTGTGAATCGTCATCTGTTTGCATGTATGCGAAGTGGAAAAGAAAGCCAGTCTGATTGCAACACCAAAAAGTGGGTCAATTTGGAAGTGGGGCAATTTTTGCGCAAACTGAGACGTGCCCAAATCCGAACTTATCTTTGAGGTTGGTGATATCTCACCAAAGGGTGTCTATGGGTTATAAGGGGGGTTCGAAAGGGCTCGAAGGGGACTAAAGGGATATGATATAATTTAGAATTTTATTTTTATTTTTATTTTCAGATTCCATAGAGCGTATCAGCATAGAAACATGTATTGATGTACCAAATTGGCTAATGCTGGAAGTTTGATGCAAAGTGTTCCACCAATTTACAGAGAATTTAATTATTGGTATATTTATGAGACCTATACAAACAAAACGAGAAGCTATATCTGCAGAAAAAAATAGAAAACGTAGTGCACCTAAATAGATACCTAGCAGTATTAATATACGAAAGTGTTTCCAGCAGCCCAAACCCAAAAGGTTCCCCACATAGCGAATATTGTGGTCACTCTCAGGCAAAAGATGTTTGGTTTGCAATTGTGCATGACTTTTTTTTTTTTTTTTTTTTTTTTGCTCTGGGACTGCCTGTGATCTTGACCGGGACTTTGCCCGGACCTGGCCCGGCCAGGCCACCCGGGGCAATCTGAGGAATCCCGGGCAGCCCGGGTACTAACACAGGTACCGAGCCCTTCGATTGTGTGTCATTTGTGGCCCCTCAATTGATCGACGACTCAGAAATCTTTTTGACTTCTGTGCCTATGTTGGGCCTCCTGACTGTTGAATATTCTCATTGACCTGTGGGTTGTTTGTGGTCTGGGGGTCTAGATTCACTGCTGGAGGCCCTAGGTGGCTTGATTTTCAATTTTTGACCTCTGAGCCCCCAGGCCTACTGACACTATGAACTTGTAGAAACTTTGTGAGAGAGGTTCTAGGACCGACTGTTGGCCTCTTTTTTTTTTTTTTTTAGGGAGGTTCTGTGACTTAGTCTCACAAAGTGCTACGAGCCTAAGAGACTTTCCTTTTTTTTTTTTTTTTTTTGGTCTTGCTGATTCGACTTCAAATTTTCAAGCACCCGCTTTTCATGATAGAACGCCAGTGTCGCAAAATGCTTTGAGCCTAAGATTCGATCTTTTTGCTGATTTAACCTCTGTTTGTTCTACCCACTCGCCCAGGTCAGTTGGTGCAACACCCCTGAACTGGTAAAACACAGACCTGAGTTCGAACTCGAGTGGAAACGGATGACCCGAGTTCAAACTCGAGTGGAAGCGGATGGCCTGAGTTCGAACTCGAGTGGAAGCGAATGACCTGAGTTCGAACTCGAGTGGAAGCAGATGACCTGAGTTCGAACTCGAGTGGAAGCGGATGACCTGAGTTCGAACTCGAGTGGAAGCGGATGACCTGAGTTCGTTGTGCTGTTGTTGTTTTGCAGGCTCTGGCCGTTGCGGCGATGGCAAACATGGACTTGAACGACGTAAATCGTCTAAGTTCAGATGGCGTCCTTCCAAGCTGGGTCTCATTTCTTGAATACGAAAAGGTGAGAATGAAATGGCTAAGATCAAGTGTAGTATCTGTTCTGATCAGGATCCGTCGTCCATCGGGCCACATGATATTAAATTAAATTTTCTGGGCTACGGAGCGGTCATAGGGGTAGGCCTGCCTACTCGATCCTTCCAGCGTTGCCTTCGTATTGCACTGCAGCGAAGCATGGCGTGCCCCCCCCGAAAAAAGAAAAAAAAAAAGAAGAAAAAAAAAAGAAAAGCCTCAACAATTGAAAAGGAGAGTTGGATTAAAAATCCAGGGAAAAAGGAAAAAAAAACTTAAAAAACGACAAAAAATCCAAACAAGAGAGGGATTTCCCGAAAAAAAAAGGAATCGGTACGTTAGAGGACGTAAAAAAGAATGGAAAAAGCATGCGAAAGAATTTAATGTTGACGTCAACAACATGAGGGGGCTGAATACCGGCCGTGGTGGGGGTTTTGTTTCGGATATATGAAAAGAAGCTAGCAAGGCAAGTTCCAGTAACAAATGACATGAATAGAACTAAAAGAAAAAGAGAACGAAAAAAAAGAAATAGAATAAGAAAAGAAATGGAATAAAAAAAGAAGAATGATATAAAAAAAAGGAATTAGAATTAAAAGTTTAAAATGATTCGGAAAAAAAAAGCTAAATGAAGTTAAAGAGATCGGGTAAAAATGGTAAAGAAGACAAAGTCTGACAAACAGAGAGTTAAAGACGGGACAAGGGGAGGGGGGGGGGGAGGGGGGGGGCAAAAACAATGAAAGAAAGAGGCGACAGTGGCAAAAATATCAGTGCGCCCTGTGATGTGATGTCATCAAGACAAAAGTTTTTCCAAAAAAAAAATAAAAAAATCAAGATGGCGGTCGGACAACTATTGATGCTGGAATTGGGGTCAAAGTTCTGACATACAAGACAGTGACAGCAGGAAGCCATGAACTGTCGAAAGCCAGAGTCGAGTTCGAATCCGGAAACTGTCGGATGAACAGGAAAAAAAAAGAATGGATCTGAATTACCTGGGAGCGGTCGCTTCAATGATGATATCTCATGGCCATAAGGCCTTCTTGGAGGACATCTTTTTCTTCTTCTTCGTCTCCTCTCTCCTCCCTCCTACTTTCTTCTTCTTCTTCTTCTTCTTCTTCTTCTTCTTCTTTCAGAGGGAGAGAGAGAGAGGTTACTGGCAAAGGTTACATCGGGCATTTAGCCCAGGATCTGATCCGACATTTTTGTGGCAGACATGGATTGGGAATTCGGCAGGGAACTATTTTTGGACTTCGCTATCGCGATCTTGGTCTTCTCCGTCGCCTCCATCTTCGTCGTGCCTCTCCCCCCATCTCTCATCCGTGGTATCTCCCCCATGTGCGTGTGCAAGGAGGGACCTTTCTTCTGTGTATGTGGTCCCTCCTCCCTCTCTCACATGTGTGGTGTATGATGGGACGTTGCGTCAGTATCAGACAGGTCAGGTCATATCTTTGAGCCTTCCACTGCGCTACATTGCACCTTCCACAGAAACTGTAAGATGCATTCGTTGCTATTCATAGTGATGGATGCATCTTGCCATTAACTGCTGGAAGATGCACTCATACTTTTTTCGCTTCAACAGTCATGTGGTGAGGCCCTAAGATATGATATCTCTGCAGCTGGATCGGAAATGTTTTCTGTCGTGATTGGTTAAAACACACATGTTGCATGCAGGCATGTAACATGGGATTATATATATATATATATAAACGACAGTCTGTAGAGTTTTCCATCTGGTGTGGGTGAGTGATAGTCTACTTTGATTTTGGTTAAGGTAGATTATCATTTACAGTGTAATCAGTGAAGGGATTCTGAAGACTGTTGAGGGTTCAGCCTCCTGATGAGTCTGTGAAACTCC